AGTTCCACTTTTATCTCAATACCATATCATCAGCTGAAACACACCATCAAGGTGAATACTGATGAAAATAATCTGAGTAGTCATCCATTTACTTTTCTCTGCCCTAAAGCTTTTTGCAGGTGTGGAAGGTATGGCAGGAGCATCCCCTGGCAGGAGGGAGAGAAGTAGTGTTAGGAAGTATGTCCTATATCATTTCATAGAACCTGCTTAAACACCTTTCAAAATAATTTTTCCTCATCTACCCTAATACTGGCACAAAGGGAAAGCTATAAGCCACAAGCTAAGCAAAAGGAGAGGTTCAAGTTCCCTGGTTATATTCCAGTCCTTAGATCTGACTTTGAGAAATGGGATCCAGTCAGATTGGTGGGTCAGAGAAGAATCTGGACACAGAAATGGAATAATTCCATGATGTAGTAGATGTCATCATTGCCCATGGCTAAGCAGAACAGATTCAAAAAGGATTTTACAATTGCTCAAAGTACTCTTAGAAGTAAGAAACATTTTTTGACACACAAAAGATTTCCAAAGAGCACCCTGAAGGATCCAGGCAAAGATCAAGGAACATACCCAATACATACTCTTCAAAGATGCCAAGAAGCATGAGAACTCGCATTACATTGGTATCAGTGATTTCCTCAAGCTATCTGATGGTTGCAGTAACTATAGCCACAAGTTGTTTTATTCTTTATTGCTATTCACTGACTTCTCATCTTTATAAAAATTTCTAAAAGAAGGTTAGAGCAGTTTTGCAAGACACTTCACAAAAAATATAGCAGTACTCACAGTAAAATGGAGTAAGATCAACAATTGAAATAAATGTAGAGCTCCACAAAGAATCTCACTTTTATGAATCTACAATTAATGTTTGTACATCAATTTTTCTTCTCATCAAAGTCCTATATGATCAATATAATACAACCAAGATCTTTTCAGAGAACAAGTAAAACAAATTCCATAATTTATATCTCATTTGTGACTATAGGCAGATCAAGAAGATCTACTTTTACCTTGTTCTATCATGGAAAGATTGGCAGCCTTTATCACTGAAAATATCACATGTAGGTACTATTGTTTTGCTTCTTCAAAGTAACTTAATTACATTAACAACAAGAACAAAAAATTGCTAATATTTTAGCTTTTAATATAAAATACTACAGGAAAGTTACTCAAAAGGTAATTAAACAATAAGCATATTTAAGGAACCTTTATTTGATGCAAACAACAATTCAGTAATTTGAAGAACAAAAAAGGTTTCATCTTTTTCTTTTCTGTTCATTGGCAATATTACCATGAAGTAAAAATAAATTGCAAATTTCAAGTAAATAGTTTAAATTTCCTTACACAAAAACAGTCACCTAAAATGGTTGAAAATGTTGAGCAACAGAAAAGTTTATTTACCAGAAACAAATGTGAGACTTTCCCTTATTTGTATTTTGCCAAATTTACCCTTTATCTAGAAGAAAATTCAAACCAAAAATTTTGATCACATATTTCTGCATGTATGCCAAGAAATAACCCCCATATTAAATACTTATACACATGAACAGGTCAGCATTGCATATTGTAATATTGGACAAATTGCTGGTCCACATTTTTACATGTTGCAGTGCATTGTTACAAAAATAATTTATGCAAAGTAGCTTTAACTTTTCCCAGAAATAAGAGGAACCTGATTGATCATCCAAGCCCAGGAACCAAAGGCAGTTTCAGACTTTCAATAAATTGTTCTGACAAATTAGGTAATAAATTTTTTCACTTACACATGTCAAAGTAATTTTTCAATAGTGAACTAATTAAACAATGCACTCCTAATTCTGCAAACAAAACATATTTCAGGTGAACCAAAATACATTGAAATTATTAGATTTGGTCAAGTTTACTGTTGCTGATAAGAACTAGATGTGCAACAAGTAAATTTCACTCTTATTATCAAGAGAAGACTTAAGAACAACTGTGGGAGCAAGATTCAAATTATTTACCTTAGTGGCATACACAAAAATAGGAACTAATTCAAGCAGCTTCCAGGCAAAGCATTGTGCTGAAAATGTCTCCTATTGTACTGGTAACAGATCAACACAAGAAAGGACTCCAGTGGGCAACTGCTGCATTCCTGCTGTCTACTGATATCAATTTATCCAACATCTACCAATAGTAGCTTATCCAACATCTACTTTTGAAAAACTAGCATCAAAGCCAAAGGCCCCATAGAGTATTTACAATGCCCACACATCCCAACACACTTTTTGGAATAGAATAGATGCACCATACCTAAAAAAATCCCTGCAAGTAAGAACAAACTTGTTACTTGTATATAAATATTTATGCCTCAAATGTTTTTCAAACTATGAACTTGTTCAGTCCAGAAAGGAGAAAAAAAAAATTAGGACTAAATGAACAAAGTGTATATTAAAATGGATCCTCTGCAAACCCAACATATCTTTATATACTTCTAATGCCACAAGGGGCAACCAGCTCCTCTTCTAGACTAGTTAAGTTGAAAAGAGGTAGTCATCAATATCTCAGGAAAGAAGAAAACAAAGAAAAATGTAGAATTCTCATGAAAGTGATGTTTATTCTACAAATCACTTAAATTTTGAGTTTAGGAGAATCTTTAAAGACTTCAGCTGTAAACCATTAAATATATCTTTTACTTCTCTGAAATGTGGCATAATTTACTAGAGAACTTCAGAGAAAGTTCTAACATGCTTGATCCATCAGGTAGGGTATGCACATGCAAGATGCCTAGTGAGTTATTACTCTGGCCTTCCCACATGCAAATGCAGTTGCTACCAGGAACTCTAAGATAGTGATTCCAAATTTCAGATTTGTGGAATTATGGATTTCACAATGGTTATCTTTACAAAAGGACAATATGTAGTAAGTAAGCTGAGTTCCAGGAAATATACTTTTGCTCTCGTTACTTCCTTGGAGAACAGTTGCTTGCCCCACTGATTTCAGTGAGTACAACAGTATGCCTGTCTCAGCATCAAGAGACTGTTATTTTAGAAATAAATTTGAGTATAACTCCAAAGTTTTCTTGATGAGTTAATATCCATAAGCTATATTTCTCAAAGATTTGTCAATTTTGTCTTTGTCAAAGCTCTATAGATAAAGGATTTAAGCAAAAAATTTATACTCCTTTTTTGTCTAGTTTTCAGCTGCACCAAAAGGTATTAGTGAGTAGCTCAGCTGTGCTTCCCAGAAGACTGTGAGAAGCATCAGAAGTTTGCTCACTGAGCCAATACAATCTGGATACAGTTTTTCATTCTGGAATACTCCCTTTCTTGTCACTCCTATCTAAAAGATGAGACCTAACTGATTACTCTGCTTCACAAGTGAGACTTTTCAGCAGTACTAGAACTCAAAGATGGACCATTACATTACAAAAATGCCATGGAATTTTACACTGCTACAAAAAAGTCTATTTCAGAGACATTTTAGAAAGCATATATGCACTATATATGGCTCATAGGGCTCTAAAAATTACCAATTTTCTGCACATAGATTTGTGTGAATTCAAAGTCTATCCTTATGAGCTGAATTCCATCAGAAAGTTTTCAGTATTCCTTATGAAGAATATAAAAGTTTCATCAGAAATCTTTAGACTAATCTGACAACAAGGATGCGATAATTTTATGTCTGATTCTAGATACCTATTATTGTTAAAAATGAAAATTTTACCTGTCCTGAATATCAAAAAGGGAGACAGAAAATGTTCATATTTCCAGGATAAAGAGAAAATATTTAACAAGGAGGTTAATATTTTACAAATAAGCAATACTCACGCTGAATTATGAAGTCTTTAAGGGTCAATACAATCAAGTTAGTAGATAGAGAACAGACATGTAAAAATAAATTCATCATACAGATATCAACTCTGTACCATGCACATAAACATAGTTATACATTCACAAAGATGATTTCTACATCATTTCTTATCAGATCAACTTTGTCAGAAAACATTTCAATCTTGAATTAATGAGCAATGATATACATAGAACTGCATTCATAAATAATCCTGTATACAGCTGAAATCCTCTCTCCTGCCACTTTATCTGCCTATTTTTGAGACATGACAGCTCTATAAACATAACTACATAAGAAATCTAAAAGCTTTAAATGCTAAACAATAAAAAAGAAAAGAAACCTGACCAGTTAGTAGCACTGATTTCACAATGTGAAATTATCTACTACAGTCTGAAACCAAAGAAACCAAAATTATAGCACCAAGAATAAAAAAGTGTTAAATCTGCAGAAGAGACAATCAAATATCAAATCTACAATCTATTATGAATAAATTCCTGTTCATATTGTTAATTTGAAAATTACAGTCCACTGTTTACCAGTTCCTTTCCTCTTTCTGCATACACTGGACCATAGAGACAAAGCTATGTGAATTCTCCTAAAGATAGAACTTTTTAATAAGCTTATTGTCACACAGCCTAAAGTGTGGAGGTTTCCCAACAGAGTTGCATTTATACTGTAAAAGAGGCAGATGGGGTTTTGTAACTGCCGTTTTATTTCATCATGTCAAAATATCCCTTGGAAAAAACACATTTAATTTCCAAATAAAAATATAAAAGAATCTTGGGGCTTGTATACATAGCATTTCACACCACTTCATCTACAGTAATTTAGTTACAGTAGTACCATTCCCTTATACAGACACACCTAATCATTCATATAGCAGTTATGTTTAACTAGATAAACTACCAGAATAAACTAATGTAACTGAAGTACAGTTTAAGACTATTTAAGTGTTCCCACATTAGGAACTTGCATTGGAATAAACAAATCATTTTAGTTACACTGTAGCAAGATTTCGAATAACCACAATCCCATAGACAAATTTCAATTTGTTCCCCAAAATCACCATATAAGCAAGCCTATAAACTAACTATCAAATGTTTGCATTTAATTTCTAACCACAGGAGTAGCAAATATAAAAGAACAGGAGTATACAAGATATAATGCAATTAACATTAAAAAAAAAATCTTACCTTTATTAGATTTGGATGACTTGTTCTTGTTAGGTTTAAAACAAGAGTCCCTTGATTTATCTTCTCTATCCTTAATAAATTTCTGCACATCATCCAATGAAAGCTTTTGAAGGACAACTACAGGCTTAGCTCCTTTATTTAGGTCTTCAACTAGCCCAATCTTCTCTACTTTATCCTGTTCACCTTTAAATTCAGTTTTCCTTGATTCCTGAGTGACATTGACATCTTTATCACGCTTGATTTTTGGAATGACAAAATGTTTCAATGTGCCAGATCTTGCCCCCAACAAATAACTAGGAAACTCTGCTTTATTGTCAGCATGTGCTTTATTACTATCTACTTTACTCTTATTACCATCTGTCCGTCGTTCATCCTTGCTGTTGGGTGATTTAAAACCAGGTCTATCAAGTCTTGATTTACTAGAATCTCCTCTACCTTCCTGTTTAATGCGAGGACTGTCAGGTCTTGATTTCTGATCCCCAGAAGAAAACCTTTCCCTTGATTCACCAGACTCATGTCTATGTTTCCTTGCAAATTTGTCAGGTTTTGAACCATCAGATTTAATACCATGTTTAGAATCATGTTCATTTTTGTTTGAGGATCTCAAATATTCAGGCCTTCTGATCTTGGATGGATCTTCTCTGTATCTCTCTGATTCCTCCCTGTCCTCAGATCTTTGTTTAAGGCTATCATGGTCATGCCTCGGTGTATCCGAAACTGAATGTCCATCAGGCCTTTGTTTTGTTGGATCAGACCTACTTTCAGATTTTATCCTTGAAGAATCAGATTTCACATCTATTTTATGCCTAGATATTTCTATTTTCTTATCTGGTAATTGTTTACTTGAGTCCCTCCTGTTATCATGTCTATGTTTTGGTGTTTCGGGCCTGCCTTCATTCTTCTGTTTTGGTGTTTCGGATCTCTGCCTTATTTCCTGTTTGCCATTATTTTGTTTTCCCTCATTTTGTTTCATCCCCATTTGCCTGCTCTGGTTTTGTTTTGATTCTGTTTGTCTGTTCTCATTGTGTTTCACTTCCATTTGTCTGCTTTCATGCTTGCTTTCACGTTTAGCTTCTACCTGTTTCTTCTCATTCTGTTTACTTTCCAACTGCCTGCTCACATTTTGCTGAAATTCCATTTGTCTGTTTTCATTTTGCTGGATATCTGTCTTTTGACCTCCAAAGTCTGATGTTTTCCTAAAAATCTCAGGATGGTTTTCAGGTTTAAATTTAAAAACTCCAACAGTGTCTTCTTGGGGAACGCACACAAACCCATCATTATACTGTTTAATTTCTTCAGGTTTTTTGATGATGTCCAAATCCTGAGTTACTGTTGCCTGAGAGTCTGCTCTTCCTGCTTGCTGCAGATCAATACTAACCATCAATGCTGGCCTCGCCCCATTTCCTACAGAACCTGTCTCCTGAGAAGCTGCTCTATTTCCTCCAGTAGCACCTCCAACCTCCTGTGGTTTGTTTTCTTGTTTTCGCTTCTTCAGAGGCTTATCTACAAATTAAAAGAGAAAAATCACAAATGCTATATATTAGAAACAGATAAATGTCCAAGCAAAAATGTCCATTCCCCTCAACCCCCACCAATTAATCCTCCTTCACATGTATGTGCACACAAACAACAAAACCCAATTAATTTAAAAGCAAGAATAGAATTTTTCTAATACTTTTTAATGTATTCGGGCTATCATTTGTTGTTAATCTACCACACGTGCCAATTAATCATTAAAAACACCTTCAAAACATATGAAATCAGTCCCTGTAAAATTCCCAAGAGAACCATCTAATAAAGAAGCTGCAATAATGGTCAAAAAATATCAATTTACAGTTGAAGCAAGTTTTGAGGAATACTACTATAAAAGATTCTCTTTTGAAGATTCAGCCTGCTTCATTATACATGAACTAAGCAAGGATCCGCAATGATTAAGACAGAGCTTCTCCCTACTTGATTCAGTTGGACTTCACAGATATTGTACCCAGGGAACACACAAACAATGAACAAAAATTATTAAAATAAGTCCAACACTCCATGTTTCTCTTTGAAGCAAGGAGTACATCAAGAGTATGAGTCTATGCCATATCACATGTATTAAATGGGGGGCCACTACACACTTAAAAGCTTGAGTATTTTCTCCTTGAAACCATAGTGCTTTTCATGGATGAAATAAAAAGTTCAGAGAGAATTTTATGTAGTGCCAAAAGCTTGACTCTACAATAATCCATTCAGTTTACATTTTTAAAAAAATCATTAAGAGTAGAATACAGAAAAATAGAAAGTGAGTTAACCACCTCCCCCATAATTTGTTAGAATTCATAGAAATGAGAAGCACATGAAAATATCAAAAAGAGTATGTTCTATTAATTTAAAATACAACCTATTTGTATTACTAACATGATACTCTAAACCAAAATTAATTTCTGCCGTGAAATTCAAAAACCCTACCTGCACTAAGGTTTATATTCTCATTTCTCAGCTATCATTTTGTAATTTGTCAATAACAAAAAATATTTTCTCTGTAATCAGAGAATATGATTTTAAGTCTAAGTAATGACCAAACACAGGTTGAAAATTCTGTCAAAATGTCTAGACCACAAATGCAATATAAGAAAAATAACTTATTTTATGCTTAGAATTCTGGTGCCTTATCACCAGATGCAATGAGCCAGCTCTCCTTTTGGGAGCAGGAGAAAGGTAAGGAAGATGCAATCAAGGAAGAGGGAATTAAACTCTTAACAAAAAACAAAACCCCAACCTCTCAAATTGTAAACCAGAATTATAACTATGACTTCTAATTTCCTCAATACTTGTAGAAGATTATGATTCAGAAGAATTAAAATTTTAAAGGATCATCTCCAAAATGAACATTAGAACACAGTAACAAGTAGTAAGATGGTCAATTCCAGTGATGTGAACAGGTTTGTGGGGTTTTTCCATCATTTAAATTCTCAAATCTGTTTGTATATCTCTAACTTCCTAAAACTCTAAAAGTACGTGCAACATTTAATGGCTGGAACAGTAAAGACAAATACAATAAATTCCACAGACAAACTGGACGACTGTAAATAAGGAACTTTTCAAAGTAGGAAGGTCTACCAATTAATCAATAAATTTGATTAATTGAAGGTGCAGCTTTTTAGCATGATGCTTTTTGCTTTTTCTGTACAACAACAAAAACTGTTGGATTCATATGAGAACTTATACAGATTAACTTCCCTACACTACTTATTAAAACAGATGGGGGGTTTTTTTGAAACCTTCATACAGTGACAAAGATTATTTTTCTCTGTGTGACTAAGAGGGCTTTGACCTCACTGAGCTTCATAGCAGGTCTTAGGATTGACCATGAGGTAGAAGCTTCCAGACTGAGACATTTCAAATTTGATTACGTTTTAAATAAAACATACACCTTAATATACATACACACACACACATATCACTACCTTATTTCTCCATTAAAACTCCTGCAATTTTGAAACACAATTTGAGAAACTTGTGTTCTTAGGAAAGTCAGTCAGTTTTTTCATTTTAACCCAGAAATGTCAACCACACTGAAAAAGTCCTGTAAAGCTCTGATGGTGGATCTAGCTTTTAAGACATTACTGTTACCAGTTATCTGCCCTGTTCCTTTAACTGAGGTTATCACCTGTAGCAGAAGGGAACCCACATTCACATTTCTACAAGAGTGTTTCATTGTCCAGTTGTAGTGGGTTTCTGTGGCCAGGTTTTGGTAGCAGGGGGGCTGCAGGGGGGCTACAGGGGTGGCTTCTATTAGAAGCTGCTAGAAGCTTCCCCTGTCTGATGGAGTCAATGCCAGCCGGCTCCAGGATGGGCTTCCTGCCACTGGCCAAGGCCAAGTCAATCAGGAGTAATAGTAATGCCTCTGTGATAACGTATTTAAGAACAGAAAGGTATTGCACAGAAAGAATTCCAACCAGGGAAGACTGGAGTGAGAACATGGGAACAACAAGGTAGACACCAAGGTCAGTGCAGAAGGAGGGGGAGAAGGTGCTCCAGGTGCCAGAGCTGAGGCTTCTGCAGCCTGTGGTGAAGACCATGGTGAGGAAGACTGTCCCCCTGCAGCCCATGAAGGACCATCAGGGTGCAGAGACCCACCTGCAGCCCATGGAGAAGCCCATGCTGGAGCAGGTGGATGCATGAAGGAGGTTGTGACCCCGTGGGAGGCCCAAGATGGAGCAGGGTCCTGCCACGTACCTACAGCCCATGGAGAAAGGAGCCCATGCTGCAGCAGGCTTTTCCCAGATAGGACTTGTGGTCCCTGTGGGGGACCCACGCTGGTACAGCTCATTGATGAAGGACTGCACCCCATGGAGAAGTGACCCACAGGACAGCAGTTCTGTTAAGAACTGTTGCCTGTGGGATGGACTCACACTGGAGATGTCCATCAAGGACTGACTCCCATGGGAGGGACCCCATGGGAGCAGGGGAAGGACTTCTCTCTCTGAGCAGTGGCAGAAACAACAACTGACTGTAAACCCCATTCCCCATCCCCCTGAACCACTGCAGGGGAGAAGGGAGAACATGGAAGGAAGGAGGGGTGGGAGGAAGGTGTTTTGTCAGTGATGAGGATCAGTAGGTGAACCTGTCCCAGCTCTTAACTCATGAATCCTTCACTGTTTTTTTTCTCTGTCCAGTTGCAGAGGGGAGTGAGAGAGCAGCTGTAGTGAGTACCTGGCATCCAGCCAGGGTCAGCCCACTACACCGGTGCATCAGATTATGGCACCAGTGAAGATGGTTTGCATTAACCTCCCAGACTGAACAAGCCAGTTTAGAGCCAAGCAAATGTTTCCTTCTGCTACCCCTACTATAGAAGCAAGGCAAATGGCCAGGAGATGTAATGCTTTAAACTGATGCAGCTGGATCAATCAAAACTCACCTCCAAGATTAAACAAGCAAAACAATTCAAATATGACCAGTTTTCTCTCTTGAACTTCCATGGGCTCAAAATGCTGCTCTTCATCATCATCAGAAATGTCAAATTGTAAGTTGAGAACATATAAATAGATGATCGCATCACAACTTGGCACATTCTCTCTAAATACAGAGCTCTTTTGTTTCTCTTGATAACTGAGTACTGATGTTTAGTAAGTTATAACCACAACCTGTTGATATCTTATCTGAGAAGAAAGGGATATATCCAAAATTTTCTTTTCCTAAATGGTAAGGTGATTGTAGATGGAGTTATAGATTATTGACAGATTTCTTGATATTTCCAGTGCATCTGGAGGGCAGTCCTCAGAACTAGACTTGATCATTACAGTTTTGCCTCTACGAGATTTCTGGATCTAGGGTCCTGGTCAATGGCAAGTTGAACATGAGTCAGCAGTGCCCTGGCAGCCAGGAGGGCCAACCGTGTCCTGGGGTGCATCAGGCACAGCATCACTGGGGATTGTCCTGCTCTGTTCTGCAGATATTCACTGTGAATATTCTGTGAAGTTTTGGGCACCACAATATAAGAAAGATATTAAGCCAGTAGAGAGTGTCCAAAGGAGGGCAATGAAGATGAAGGGTCTTGAGGGGAAGCTGTAGGGGGAATGGCTGAGGGCACTTGGTCTGTTCAGTCTGGAGAAGAGGAGACTGAGGGGAGACCTCACTGCAGTCTACAACTTCCTCATGAGGGGAAGAGGAGGGGCAGGTACTGATTTCCTCTCTGTGGTGACCAGTGACAGGACCTGAGGCAATGGTCTGAAGTGTCAGGGGAGGTTTAGGTTTGATATTAGAAAAAGGTTCTTCCCCCAGAGGGTGGTTGGGCACTGGAACAGGCTCCCCAGGGCAGTGGTCACAGCACCAAGCCTGACAGAGTTCAAGAAGCATTTGGACAATGCTCTCAGGCACATAGTGGGATTGTTGGGGTGTCCTGCACAGGGCCGAGAGTTGGACTCGATGATCCTGATGGGTCCCTTCCAACTCAGCATATTCTACAAAAATATCAGGTTGAACTAGTGCATTAAAGATAGGATGAGCACATAGTACCACTATCCTCATTGAGCATAATGGAAAAACTCCACTGAATGGGGACAAAAATGGTTTTGGTTGCCATCATAGCTGCAGACATATGAAAGGTGAAAACCACCACTGGGCTTCAAGGGCTTTATCAAATTTTGAACTCACTTTGAACTATATGAGAATAATCAATAAAATATCAGAGAAGTAAGGAAAGAGTAATTAACCTCTGAAAACAGATGTCTTCAAGTCTTCTCTTTTACAATCAAATATATGCAAGTGTGCATAAATCTGCCTTGTTAAGACATGAGTCCCAAGACCTCATAGGGTCTTAAGGAACAGATGAACTTAGGAACTTTGCAATATGCATTCAAATATACTTCATAATCTTCGAGACATCAGTATCCAAGTTTAGTCCACTTCATTCCATAGATGATAGAATTTCTTTTTATTATCAGGATCTAGGACTTTGCCAAAATATCAGACTAACATTTTTCTTTCCAACCCTGCAGACCTAGGTTCAAAGCTTGCCA